AGGCGGGGGGCTGGGTGCGAGTCTGTGCGTGCGGCCGCCCTGGGGTGTCTGCCGGGTTTTGGAAGGAGGGGTGCATGTGCTGGAGGTGTAGACTGAGCCTGCTACCTCTCTGAGCTCTGGGCTTGTGCTGAAGCTTCTGGCTTTACCCAGGCATGTGCCCAGACTGGGGTCAGGTTTGGGCAAGGAGATGAGGCTGGCCAGGTGAGGGTGGGCACCTGCTTTGCCTGGGGCCATGTACTATGTCCCAGGCACGCACATGCTGGAGCCCTCGTTAGACTCATTTGTACACGGAAGGAAATGAGGCCTGGTGGGCATGTGGGGAGTATTTTGCCTCCATTACTCAGAATATCCCTTACCCCCGCCAGAGGCTTTGCATGCAGCCAGGGTGCGCCGGCAGCGGCACGCGCTAGGCTGGGCTGGGCTGGGCTGGGCGGGCCATCAGAGGAAGCAACATTCCTCCTGTGTGCCGACGGGCCCAGGCGGGCGCCGGCAGCTCCTGGCCCCGCCCTGTCGGCTCCCTCCGGTTTGCAGGAGTGATCCTGGCAGGGGGTGGCCCTTAGCTGGCACGGTGGAACTTTGTTGTGGCCTTAGGCAAGAGGCCTTTCTGCCAGCTTGGGTTTCCTCGCCTAAGCAGCAGGAGGGGTGCCGGAGACCCTGACTTGTGAGCTGGGACACACAGTTTTCTGCAACAAAACTCATTGCCCATTGATGACTTCACAGAGCCACCAATGGATGCTTTGGCTCAGAGAGGGTAACCTTCTCAGTTGGTCACAGCTGGAGGGGCTGGCTTAAAGGCCCAGTCTGAAGGGCGGCAGTGCTGGTGGCCACACCCTGCATGGGACCTTGTGCCCAGCCTGGGCCAGTTAACCAGGCCAGCTGTATGGTAATGGGCAGTTCGGCCACTCCCGCTTAACTCGGCCGAGTTAAGGCTGGCCCCAGCACCCCTTGCCGCACAGCCCTGGACAAAGCTGGCGGACAATGCCTGGTGATTCATCTTCCCTCTGGGCCCTTTGTCCGCCAGTGCTTGGCAGCCGCCCAGCAGAGGCCTTTGTCCCCGACCTGAGTGATTGAGACTTGGCTTCCCAAAGCCAACCTCCTCCGCCTGTCCCTCCACCCGAGCCTCAAAGTGGGCAGGCCTGGTGCTGTGTCAATAAGGGTGTGTGCCTCACCAGGTGCACAGGCAGGCTGCGGGAGCCAGTTACCTGGTGGGTGGGTGAGGTGCCTCACCTGGCTCGTGCCTCACAGCTGCCTGGGTGACCTTGGACCCAACTGTGAAGGTTGTGAAGTGAGGCTCCCACCAACTGCCACTCACACTGGGCACTTGAGCTTCACTCTGTGCACATGGGGAAACTGAGGCCCAAAGAAGCGTGGGGAGTAGGTGCGATTAAACTATAGCTTGGAAATTCCAGGATGCCCAGCCTCAAACCCGCCCCCCACCCTAGATGGTGGTGAAGTTCGCAGAGCTGCCTGCTCAAGGCTGTACTTTTCCTTCCAGACGTTCATTTTCACCGACGGGGAAGATGAAGCCCTGGCCAGGCACACGGGTGAGCCCTAGACTTTGGGAGGGAGGGCGCGCTGGCCTCAATGTGGAGCAAAAGCCTTCTCTTCTATTCTACCCTCGCCCCTGGGGCAGAGAGGTCAGGGGCAGCAGGGCTGGGAGGGCAGTTTACTCAACGGGTTTGCTCAATGCTCCGCCCCACCACTCGGGGCCCCCCAATTCTCATGCAAATGAGGCCCTTTCAGCCTCTGGGTCCCTTTGAGCCTACAAGCAGCAACAGGTGGCGGGTGCTGGGAAAAAGCTGCCTGAATGGGCAGGGGCGGGGCCACCCTGGAGAGGGGGTTGGGCTGGGTGGAGGGTCAACAGGCCTCTGCACTTGAATGGGGGAGGATGCTGTGGGGCCCATCTTGAACCGTGGGGGCTTTTATTGAACCCCTAGACTCTGGTGTGCCCCCACGGCTCTCTCTAAGCCAGCTCAAGCCCACTCACAGCCTCTCCCCTGCCTACAGGCAATGTGATCAACACCAACTGTTCAGCTGCCCACAGCCGCCAGGCTCTGTCCTGCAAGATGGCTGTGGAGTTCGACCGCTTCATAGAATCAGGGAGGAAGTGAGTGCTGGTCTTGGGCTGGGACCCCCAGGGAACGTCCCTACCACACCTGTGCCCTGGCACTATGCACCCTGGCCTGCCCTCCCTAATGGTCCTGCCTTGTCCTCAGGTGGTTCTGCCATGTGGATGATGACAACTACGTCAACCTGCGTGCCTTGCTGCGGCTGCTGGCCAGCTACCCCCACACACAGGACGTCTACATAGGCAAGCCCAGCCTGGACCGGCCCATCCAGGCCACTGAGCGGGTCAGCGAGAACAAGGTGGTATGTGCCCCGACCCCAGCCCTGCCCTGTGCTACACATGCCTATATGGGGGGATTGAAGGCACCCCAAAGCCTAGGTGTGGGGGAATCCCTGTCCCTGTTGAGTAGTAGCTGGTCTGACACCATTTCCCCCTCCCGTAGCGTCCTGTTCACTTCTGGTTTGCCACTGGTGGGGCTGGCTTCTGCATCAGTCGTGGCCTGGCACTGAAGATGAGCCCGTGGGCTAGGTGAGTGCCCAGCACAGATGAGGCCATTCTACTGGCCAGAGTGCCCCCAGGGTCTCACCCTGGGGCCTGGCTTGGTCCATCTTTCCAGCAGCTGGAGTCCTCAACCTTTAGCTGCTTCCTCCTTTCCTCCTCTCTGGGTTTCAGGAGGCAGCTGTGTTTACAGTGACACCCCTGAACTCCTAGTCTGACCTGCTAAGATCAGGCACCAAAGTGAGTTAGTACCCCAGGCAAGACTGGGCAGGATCCCTCCCTGCCCCCAGGAACACCTCCTCACAGAGAATCACCAGGCATCTGAGTTAGTGTAGAGGAGGGTACCATGGCCAGGGCTCGGGGAGAGGGAACTGCAGGCACAAGACCCCTGGTTAGGGACGTAGCATGGTCCGCACTGTGCTCCTCTGGGTATGTCCACCTCTTTCTGAGCCCAGCTCTCAGCAGGCAGCTCCCACTCTGCTCACTTCTGGCCCTTCTTCCTGCAGTGGGGGCCACTTCATGAGCACAGCAGAGCGCATCCGGCTGCCAGACGACTGCACCATCGGCTACATTGTGGAGGCCCTGCTGGGTGTGCCGCTCATCCGCAGTGGCCTCTTCCACTCCCACTTGGAGAACCTGCAGCAGGTGCCCACCTCTGAGCTGCATGAGCAGGTGCGCTATCCCTAGGGCCCCCAAATCCCTCTGCCAGGGTGGACACCATTCCTATTGTTTATCTTCAGCATGACGCACCTGCTCTGTTCCTCTCCGGCCTTTTCCTCAATCAGTAGATACTCTCTTGTGTGCGGTTGGCAACTATCAGCCCCAGCTGCAGTCCCTGCTTGGACTTTATTCTTGGGGTACACAGAGCAGGTGTCTCTTCTGGTCCAAGGGAGGGAGTAGGAAGAGTGAGGCAGGGCTGCTGCCTCCTTCGGAGCCACATGGCCAGTCTTGGGAAGAGCCTGGGGGTTGGGGCCCCCCCGGCATCACCTTGCCCCTTCCCTACAGGTGACCCTGAGCTATGGCATGTTTGAGAACAAGCGGAATGCTGTCCACATGAAGGGGCCTTTCTCAGTGGAGGCTGATCCATCCAGGTGAGGACAGAGGCTCAACATGGATGACCAGGGGTCTGGCAGAATTGGAGCCAGGCTTGACCATTAGAGGGGCCCCAGGAATCCCACACACTTGGGGTGGGCTAGGGTCCCCATTGGTGCTGTGGGTCTGCAAATGGTATCCAGTACCCCCACCCCACACAGACCGCACCCCCACTCTGTCCCAACAGGTTCCGTTCCATCCACTGCCACCTGTACCCGGACACACCCTGGTGTCCGCGCACCGCCATCTTCTAGCAGCCATGACAGAGACCCCGTCCCTGGGTGCCCCTGGTATCCAAAGGGCCCAGGGACCCCTGTTGGGCCACCCTGGCCTTGGCATTTGAGGCTCCCCCAGGGCTGTGCCTGTGTGTGTGTGTGTTTGTGTGTGTGTTGTATGCCCACCTGTATAGCAGACTGCTGGGCAGTGTGCTCTGCGGAGGTGGGAGAAGATGTCCCATGTCTGCCTTTCCAGGCTCCTAGGGCCAGTGGGCTCCAGCCCACACCGGGGAGGATCTGGATGTTGGAGGCCACTCGGAGGGCAGCTCTGTACTAAGTTGGGCTCTCTGGCAGTGTGGGGCTCAGGGCTGCTCCACGAGGATATGTGGGTGCTTTTCCCTTCCTCCTGAGCACAGACTCTGAGCCCTGGAATCCTGGCCCCTGCCTTGGAGCCCTCAGTAAGCTGTGTCATGGCTCCATGCAGAGGAGCTGGTTTGGGGGTGAACGGCCTAAGCTCTCTCTGGGCTGTGTCCCCAAAGCTGTGGCTCACAGTAAGGGTAGCCACTGCCACATCCAAGCATCCCATGAAGCCCACAGCAGCTGCCCAGTGGGAGAACAGTGGCTTCCCTCCCGGCCCCCCTGGGTAGGGGTCTTCTGGCGCCCTCACAGGTCTTCTCTTTGCCTCCCCGCATTCGGGTGAGTCAGAGTTGAGCATTTATCTCCTCTCAGAAGTCGAGAGAAAGTCGCCCACAGTGGGCGTGTCTGTAAATATTGTGACAGTATTTCTTTACTGTGCCATTTTTTGAAAGGGGGTGGGTAAAAAGTAGAGTGTTTCTGTTTTTTGGGGGAGGTGGGGAGGGCCTTATTTTATTTTCTGTGGACCAGAAAAACCAGAAGCCAAACTTGGGATCACCTTTGTTTTTAAAGCTAAAGTGGAAATGTCTAACCTCTGTATTTATTTGTTCCAGTATCTGGAATCTCTCCCTGCCCTCCCCACAATCAGCCATCGTCTCTGGGCCATCTTGGCTCACCTTTCCTGCGGGGGGTGTGTTTTGTGTTCTGTTTTTCTTTTTGCAAAGACATAGCTAGAAAAGCAAATGATAAGGGAAAAGTTCTCAGGGAATTGAAGTGTTGTTGCTATGGTGACGTCCTTTTGCTGTGAATAAAGGTGCTCTTTATGGCAACCCAGAGGTCCTGGTCTTGGCTGAAGTCGAGCCCCAGGTCCCAACTGAGGCTGAGGGCTCGCAGGTGAGTGGGAGGCTGACCTGGTTTGCACCACACGGGGTAGGTGGGTAGAAAACCCTCCATGCCAACCACTTTGGAAGGAAGCGTGGGATCATAACACCTTCTGACTGGTGCCTGAGAGGTGTGGCCAGCCTAGAGGCAAGTGGTCACTGGTAGGTGGTCACCGTGACCCCAGGAGAGCCAGGTCAGATCTGCAGGGGCTCTTGGTCCCCAGCCAGGGAAACAGCCCTCGGCCTGCTGTCCTGGCCCAGCCCAGGAGAGCCAGGTCAGATCTGCAGGGGCTATTGGTCCCCAGCCAGGGAAACAGCCCTCAGACTGCTGTCCTGGCCCAAGTGGGAGGGCAGACCAGCACTCCCTTGCAGGAGGAGCAGTGGCTGCTGTGGCCAGGACTGGGAGCTCTTTATCCAGTTTCATCCCATCACAACCCGCAGAGTCCACATCCTTGTCCCCTTATGCTGATGGGGACATGATTCGGAGCAGGTGACGCTCAAGGCCAGCCAGCCAGGCTGATGGAACGATGTGCTCAACCTCTGCGGCCTTGGGTACCTGCCTCCTACCAGGCCTCTCACCTGTAAGGTGGCGCGATGCCCGACTGACCTGACCGGCAGGCTGGGTGAAGTCTGTCAGGATGGACAATGCCCTGGTGGCCACTGCTGCAGTAGAGCCTGTAATAACCCCTAACTCAGCAGGTCCCAGAAGCCTCGTCTAAGATTCAGACCCTTCTTGTTTTTCTTTTTTTTGGAGAGGTTTTTGCTCAATCAAGCCTTGGAGTATAGACTGTGGAGGGGAGGGGCTGCTCTGCTCAGCCTCTAGCTGGGGAATCCCCTCCCCACCCCCTTCCTGGCAGCCCTGGGGCAGCCCTCACTTCCTCTTCTCTCAGAGCCGACACCTCTCTGGGGCTTGCACCAGCACAGCGGCTCGGCCTGCTGCTGCCCCCTGCAGGCACCTGCTCTGGCCACCTGCCGCCATCTGGGGCTCCAGGTCTCCCCTTCCTTCTGCCTCTACCCCTTAGATGAAGCACTCTGAAAAGCACCTCCCTCTGGGGTGCCCTTTCCTCCTCCCTGACCCATTGGAAGGAGACCAGGTGCTACTCCCTACCCTGCCAGACACGTGCTCACATGCTCTGCTCCCCCAAAAGGGTTTGGGAGGCCTCCTTTCTTCACAGCCCTGGTTGGTGACTGCTCTGGCTTTGGGGTGGCTAACCAGAACCTGGCACCATCTTGGCCTTGGACAGGTCTGAGTCAGCGGAGTGTGGTTTTCAAAGGCATCCTTGGCAGGGGTGGGGAGGAAGGGAAGCCCCTCACTATCACACTGCCTGACATCTGGGAACACCAGCTTGGCTGCATGTGTCCCACCCGGGCCAGGACAGCACAGTTAGGGCTGTCCCCTGGCTGGGACCTATAGCCTCCAGCAGATCCCTTTTCTCATGGACGGTGAAGAGCCATCTTCTGGACAAGGAAACTGAAGCTTCTGAGGTTTGGGGGAGGCACAGTGGAATAGGCTGTGGGCAGAGGCCATGAGCCTCCTTCCTGTTGGTGAGTCAGGCTTGGTGCCTTCTGCCCCAGCCCCCAATGCTACTTCCTGCAGCTGGCATGGCCTCCCCACAGAGCTGGTAGGCAGGGGGAGAGGTGTGGCTGGACTCAGTGGTCAGCCCTAGCTGGGGCAGGTGGAGTCCACATCAGTGTGGGAGTCCCCAGCTGCTCACAGCTGGTCCACATAGCCCAGCGTGTGTGTGTGTCTGTGGGGTGCTTGGGATAGCAGAGCAGAGGGGCAGGGAGCAGGGTAGGGAGGAATCTGCCCCTCCTGGAGCCTCAACCTTGCCATCTGAGTAATGGGCAGGAACTTAAATGAGGCCGGGAGGAACAAGAGCAGAGAACAGACTGGTGCCCTTGGAATTCTTAACTCTTCCAAAGGAGAAGCTGAGCCAGGGAAGTTCCTGGCCCCTGAGAAGGGCAAGCAGGTCCAGTCCACCACCTGCAATGCTGTGAGGAAGGGGACCTTCCCACCTAAAAGGTGAGTCCCTGGACTGGAGAAGCATATTCATTTATGGAGACAGCTACGGCCTGGAGACACCTGCAACCCACAGACCTGCCAGTGGGATCACTCTCAACCCCCACACTGGGCTAGGGCTAGTCAGAAAAGTCCCCCAGCCCTGCCCAGCCAGGTGCCCCTCCCAAACTGCCGATCGTTTGTGGGGCTTTCAAGAATGAAAAGTAAAACTGCAACTGTGGGCTGCTGGGTACTGGGTGAGCCAGGCAGAGCCCAGCCCCCACTTCGCTTCCTGAGTGCTGAGCCAGGTCTGGGAGAGGGCTGCCAGTGGGGCCCGCCCTCCTCACTTTAAACATACTTCCCTTCCCCTGGGGTCATCAGGGCCAACTTCCTGGAAGAGGCCACTAAGCTGGAATAGGAAAGTGATGCAAAGGAGAGGGAGTAGGGGTGGGGGCATTCCAGGTCCCCACAACCCTAGAAAGGGTGCAGAGGTCTGGAAGGCTGGGAGTAGAATGGGCAAAGCCTGGTCTCCGTGACCCGCCGTCCCCTCCTCCCCCCCGCCCCCATGCCCAACCTGGCCCAAAGACTTTCAGGCCTCCAGGGCTATCCACAGATTCTGGGGTCCCAGAGAACAGCCTGCTGGGTGGCGTCAGTCAATCCTATTCTCTCTTGGCAGGGGCCAGGACTGGGCCCATTTTTTTTTTTTGTCTGTCAGACCAGCTGCCCAATCCTCTTTCCATTTCAGCCTTGTTAAACATCCTTGTAAAGGGTGGGAGCCCCACTTTCTGAGCACAGGGATGGACACACGAGCAGGCACTCATACACCCCAGGATGGACCTAGGGGCTCCTCGTCTCAGCCCCTGCACCTAAAGGTTGCCCAGATGTCAGCACGCTGTCTGGGGGCTTAGAGCTGTGGCTGCTCCCTCTGTGTCCCCACTTCTGCCCCTGCCTGGGCCTCTGGGACAGTCCTTGGGCACTGGCTGATGGCTTCTCTCCCAGTCCGAATCCCACCTTTCTTGGGACATTCCCTGAATCCGGAGGTGCCGCCCCTACTGGCTCCTCTGGGGTGGGAGGCGGGGAAGAGGCCTCTGCAGTCTCGTGCTTGCTGCTCAAAGTTCGTGCACAGAGATTTAACAGCATTACCGATATCTGATTCACACGGCAGCGGGTATGTCAAGTCAAGCTTGAACTAGCCGCTACAGGAAGTCCGAGGCCGCCTCTCACCATAGTCCACACCCTCAGCTGAGTGGCCACCACCTCCTGTTGACACCTCTGGGCACTTGGGGGCATGCAGATTCGTGTCTGCCCCACTCGCTCCTCCTCTGAGGACCCTGCGCCCCCTGCTGGGCATTTGCCTCCATGCCTCACTGCTGGAGCTGCTCTCAAGGATCCTTTCCTCCTTCATGCCCCTGTCCCAGAGCAGGTCACCTGCTGCCCAGGGAGACGTACGCCCCCATCACATGGCCACTCTCTCCCACGCTGCCCCTGCTCCCATTATGGTGTCCACTATCCTTCCCACACCCTTGGTCTCTCCTCCTTAGCGGCTCGGCTTCCTCCCTCATCCCCCCCCACCCACACACACACACACACACACACACACACGGGCACTCTCCAGGGCACTCTCCAGGCCTTGTCTGTCCCAGGCTTTGCCCTCTGCCCTTCCTGACTCCTACACCCAGTCTATTTCCTCCCATACCCGGCTCCAATGACCCTTCCACCTTCCTGGGCTTCCTCTGCTTGGCTTGTCTGCCCAAGAGTGGAATCTCAGGGTCAAGCATGGCTCCCTTGACCTGTCTTGTTCAATATCCCTGCTCCAAGTTTGTCGCTGTGGCCCGGTTCCACCGAGTGCTCCCTCCCCTGCACCTGCACTCACACCCAGGCTGCTGAGCGCCGTGAACACGCTGGAGAAAAACCTCTTCGTTCCCTGGCATTCTCACTTTGAGTTCCAGACCATGGACCTCAGGGAGCCTTTGAGAACAAGGACAGAGACACTCTCTGAGCCTCCATTAGCAATGTAGCCCTGTCCCTACGGAACTCAGGGACACTTTTTTTTTTCCCTTGCCAGAGAGTGACAGAGAGGGAGAAAGTGTTCCCAGTAGGGTGTGGTCTACAATCCCTTCACTTATCCATCCTGTGGGGATTTGGGGTATGTATGCTGTTTTACCAAAGGGTCAGGATTATGAACCACGAGGCTACAGGGCCAGCTCCCCAGAGACACTGCTGGTCCTTGGAACTGGAAGCTGGTGTTTCGTTTTGCTCATAGGCACATATACTCACTAGAGAGAGCAAGAAACAGAGCGAAAGTGAGAAAGTTTCCCCCTGGAGGGTGGCCATGCCACAGTTTGATTCCTTCTTTATTCTCCTCCTGGGATGTCGGGCACACACGCGCACAACACACCTGGTGTGATTTTCAAGCTGCCAGGTCCGGGACTCAAACCATGGTTAGCCCTGTGGAAGTCCAACACCTTAATCACTATACCAACTGCTGGGCCCTGTAAGTTTTTTTTTTAATTTATTTTTTTTAATTTTATTTATTTATCTATTTATTTCAATTTGACCAGAGAGAGACACACAGAGAGAGAAAGTGAGAAAGCAAGCTACCAGGTCTGGGACTCAAACCATGGTCAGCCATGTGGGAATGTCCAGCACCTTAATCACCACGCCACCTGCTGGCTCCCCTGTAAGTTGGTTTTAAGGAAGTCAAATTTGCAGTGATTTGGTACAGCACCAGTGGGGACCACCTCCCATAGCCTCTTCTCAGCTACTATCAGTATTTTATTTTCAGGCAGGATTTTTTCTGTTTGGAAATCGCACCTGGCCCCAAACCCACCCCTGCCTGCTGACATCGTACCCGGGTCTCTTCTCAAGCAGCACCCTGCCTTACATGCTGTCATCTGCTGGTTGATTTTGTTTTCTCTTCCCCTTCTCCCAGTGGGGCTCGAGCCCTGTGAGGACAGCTCTTTCCTGCTGGCTGCACCCCAGTGCATAGAATAGCCTTAGACTAGAAAACACCCCAGGGAGGGCGGATGAATGGATGCCACCCCCAGTTCAGAACCAGGATGCTGTGCTTTCACTCCTTGATAAGGGGTTGGAGACTGGCAGCTGTGTCAGGTCTTTCTCTCAAGGCCCCTGGCTCTCACTCGAAGCCTGGTGTGTTCTTGCCTTTTGGGCTCATAGGCCCAAAGATTCCCCCTAGTTCACTCACCTTATCACGTGACACCCTGGAGCTTCTAAGGCTTTCACTCGGGAGCTCAGCATCCTTCCTTCAGAGCTTGCCCTTTTTTGGGCCCCTTTCCTGGAGCAGCCACAATCAAACGGAAGCATCTGGCAAGCCTGCTGGTGTGTTCTGGGGGCAGGAGAGGAACCTCTGCCCAGCAGTGTCCCCCAGGTGCCCATAGGTACCCTGAGAGCCTCGTGTCTTTGCTGGGTCTAGCAGCTCCCTGGCCCACCTGTACTCTAGGCCTGCGCACCAGGTGTGGGAGACAAATGCCTATGGTCAAAGGGGCCCGCCGTCTCCTCGTAGGTGGGTGCTGGTGCGCACCAAGCAGGTCAGGGCAGCTACATGCCAAGTGGCCTTGGACAGCTGCTGCACCTTCCTCAGACCATTTCTCTGATCCAAGTACACTCATACCTCCTGCAACATGGGTGCAGGGTCTCATGACAATGTGGGCCCTGTGGGCCTTCAGGAGGGACACCAGAGAGACCCCCAATCATCAGGGAGCCCAGGAACCTTCTGCCCCCCAAGTGTGGCAACTAGGAGGGACTGCAGTGGGGGCTCAGGAAAGGCCCAGCTGGGAACCCACTGCTGCAATGGGCCAGGTGCTGGCAACTCCCACCTCTCCTAGGAGCAAGAGGGGCCTCTGCACAGCAATCCCCGTCCCCTCTGCCTGCAGTGCATGTGCAGACTGCAGAATGAGGCTTTTACCACACCTGGGGGGCCACCACTCCCTGCCTCAAAACCCAGATCTACTGCAGCACTCTAGACCAGGCCCACTCTCGCAGCCTAGTTGACCCCTCCCCTCCCCCCTGGACTTCTGCTCTGGTCCTCACCCTGATCCCAGGCTGAACGCATGGCCACCCTGTCCATAACCCAGGGCCAGACACTCTAGAACCGCCCAACTTGGATGGGAGCCAAAAGAACTCAGGGCAAGAGGCCTCTTCTTTAAAATTTGTTTATTTTAAAACATGAAATCCAAGCTGAATAGAAACCACAGAAATTACATTGACAAGATTTTAGTATTTGCCAAGAAAAATAAAGCCCCCAAAGAAATAAAAATCAAACCCCCAAACTCAGTTTTAAAAAACAAAAACAAATACACAGCGACAGTACATACAGCCATGGCCCTACGGAGGTTGAAGGGGGAAATGCAAAATGGTCCAGGCCTCAGTTCACCGCTCAGATGTTAAATCACACTTTGGGGGGGGGCTAGGGGAGGAGGTAAAATGTGCGGGCCTGGAGGGGAGATAAACTGGGAGGTTGATAGTCTTAACAAAATTATATATATATATATTATATATAACAAATATAAAGTGGTACGGTACACAACCATTATGGTTAAACACAAAAAAGATCCCCCACAAAGGTCCTGGTCCCCTGCCTGCCCACCCATCTGGGGCCCAGGGGCTGCTAACTAACACCCCCTCCTGGGGCTGGGCAGAGATGGGACCCAGGGTTGGAGGGAGGGAGGGAAATGGAGCTTGGAATGGGAATTGCATAGTGAGATGGGTGGGTGGGCATGGCGGGGGGGGCTCCCCCCAGCCAGTCCCTTTCACTACCCAAACCTTGCAATGCCATGTGGGGGGTGAGGGTAGTGGGATAGCCCAGGGAGCAGCCTCCTGCTGAGCCCCATCAGCTCCACGTCCCAGCTGGACCCTCCGTCTGGCCTGGCCTTTTAGGGACCAGCCAACCCTGGGCCCTGTAAGGTTCCATGCCCCCAGGTTCTCTTCCATCCTGTGACCTCCCTATCCCCCAAGTGGCCAAGGGCACTCTCCCAGTGCCAGATGCTGCAGAGCCCAAGGCAGCAAGGCCCACCGGTGCAGGGTGGGAGCGGTGCTGGCCGCAGCTGGCCACCCCCAACAGGTGTAGGGAGGTGCTGGGGTGAGGGGTAGTCAGGGAGGTGGCACCAAAAACTTTGAACAAAAAGAAAACAATGGCGGGAGGGGTGTAAACCCTTTTTTATTTCCCCCCATCTTCCTGGCTTCAACCTCGGTGAGTACAGTCACAGATGGGCACGCACGCACACGACGGTCAGATTCCCAAGACAGCACAGGGCTCGGCCTTGTCGGGCAGCACCCGCCTCTCATGCTATGTACATTCACCTTGTGGGCAGCTCGTGGCCATGAGCAGACTTTGTGCTTCTCAGCGGTGGCAGAGTGCATTGTGGGCACCTGGGCAGGGTGCCAGAGCCACCCTCCTGACCCACGGCCAGGAGAGCTCCCCTGGCAGGGTTGAGGAGGAAAGACTAGGCCCCATTAGGGGCCCAGAATGGCCAAGCAGGGCCTGAGGCGTGACACAGATGCCCAGGCTGAGAGCCCCAGGCCCAGACTCTCCTTGCTCTCGTCCCCTATCCTTTTGGTCCCAGATACCAGCATAAAGAAAGGGGGGGGTTGTGGAAGAAGGGCAGGGTGGAACCTCATCCCAGGGAAGGGGTGAGGGCATTTCTGGTACAGGTAGCTGCCCTGCTGCTCTGGGAGGAAGAGCCACACGTGTGTAAACTGCTGGGGCTGGCTGCCAGCTGCCCGCTCCCCACAGGGGCCCTTTCTCGAGGCCCTCTGGCAGCCCCGGGCCTGGGCACACAGGCCAGCGTCCGTGTTGACCCTTTGCCGTCTCAGCTGGCTGGGCTGAGGCCGGAGGGTCCTGATTTGTGGGGTGGCTCTACCCTCCACGGCAGGAAGCACAGCAAACATCGTACACTAAAGCCAAAAGCACCTTTAGGAAGCCTTGTTCCCGCTTCACAGGTAGGGAAAATGAGGCTGCGGGAACCTCAGTCCAAAGCTCGTGGGCTATGCATTCCCAAGGACATGGTACTCCTGGGGCAGCACCTGCCCAAAGAGGGGTCTCCAGGCCTGTGGGCTGCCTGTTGGCCTGCTGCCCCTCCTCAGCTGCACCCAAGGAAATGGCTCCCGCTGGCTGTCCTGGGCCTCCGCTCCAGCCTGGACCCAGGGCTGAACGCACTGGCTCTGGGTCAGCCAGGGCCCTGTGGAGGCTGGAGTGAGGTTAGTGGTTAGTCCCAAGAGGGGCAGCAGGGGCTAAGGGCACATTCACAGCCAGCTCAAGTCCAGCCCCCAGGCCAGACTCCGGGAACTGCGCCTATCCTGGATGGAAATGGAACCAAGGAGAGAACGGGGGGGCCAGGGCTCCCGCTCAGTCTGCAGCCCCAGCCTGCCCCAGAGATGACAAATGTGGTTAGTGCAAAAAACGAACCAGACGAAGCTGCCGAATCTTGGGTCGGGAGAGGGGGTTTGGCACCAAGAAAGTGGCCAGCACTGGGCCCCGAGGCGCCTGCTATCCACGGAGGGCTGAGCAGGTGCTGCAG